CAAAGCTTTCAACCATGATTTTTATCAACTGATGATCTTCAAGAGACAGACCGACCTGGTCATCATCTGCTTTTCTTTTGAAGACATGGACACCAATATCCTCATGGTTAGAAGCCTCGTCCTCAGTGAGATGAAACTTGTTCGGACATGGTTGGAAAATGAACTGAAGTTCACAGGTTATCACATTTGTCTTGTACACACTTACATTCGAAGGCCTGTGTGCCTTGTTGAGACATACATCTCCAATTACTACCCAACCTAGTCAAAGCTGTAGAGCAAAAGGTGAGTTCTTTGGTTCTAGTTTCTGAGATTGAACATGATGAGCTTCCAAAAGATCCCTACCAATAAAAACCAAAATCTCAGCGCACGGATCTAGGGGTTGTAAAGGTAAGTCTTTAAGATGCGCATAGTGTTTTACTACATCGAAGGTCGGTATTTCATGTTTTTCGTTAGGAATTTCATCAAATTCGGTGATTGTTGGCAGCTCCATGACAACAGAGCCATCCATTGTTGCCACCATCAGGTCAGATATCCGTCGACCGCTTTTCTGTACACGTCCCGCACAGGATGTAAGTGTGAAGAACTGTGCATGGGAATTCGGTACACCCATAAAGTTAAAAGAGTTCCGGTCTCGCAAGGGTAGCATTGCTCTGATCGTCTATTAGTGCGTATAGAGTCAAGCACTTGTTCGGGTCATCCTTCGGATAGACCTTTACTAAGACTGCCTTTGCACATGAACGTCCTGTAAAATTGACTCCACATACAGCGGTACATTTTGAAATAATCTGTTCTCCTTCTTTAAGAGTGCACTCCCCGCCATGCTGCTCAGGGGTTGCCTGGCTGTCTGGAGGCCTGTGGAGGGCTGTAGGGTGTTGTACACTTCCGCACTCTGTACATTTAACAATAACATTACAGGTTTTAAATGCATGAGTGTCAGATTCGCAGCATTTATAGCACAGATTTTGTTCCCTAAGAAACTGTTTGCGTTCACGAATTGACTTCTTTCGGGAAGCCTTGCACTCATTTAAAGTGTGGCCCATTCCATAAATTGGACACTTGGACACTAGAACAGCCTGTGGTTTCTGTGACACCCATCTTCTTCACTGAGAGGTTCCTTGCTGACCTCGATTTTGCTGCTGTTTGTACTGTTACTGTTTGTAATTGGGATTGTCTGGCTTGGTCACTAATCCTGGGTCATTTAGCATCCTTGCAGACTCTTCAATAAAGTCACAAAATATTTCGAACGGTGGATATGTCACATTATGTAGCAGTTTGTATTTAGATGCCTTTGTGGTCCATTTGGACTGCAAACTGTACCTAAGTTTTTGTAAAATAGGAAGAACTCCTACAGAAGTGTCAAAATATGCGAAGAGAGGTTTGGGGTTATCCTTTAGCGATTTTATTTCGCAAAGTAGGTCTGACAAGTCATACAGTTTTTTCATGTCATTGGTGCCCAACCTCGGAAATTTGACCAATTTTAGCCGTGATGCAGACTCAACTAATTCTGGCGAACCGTATCTCTCATGAAGTCTTCTCCAAAGAGCCTCACAACCCCTAACTGGGTTATGGGTAGTTGTAGCCTTCACCCTTCTTGCGTGTTCTCTTGATTCTGGTCCTAGCCACCTTATGCGTAGGTCTAGTTCTTCTGCCGGTGTTACGGAGGCTTCCTGTATTACGGACTTGAAACTAGTTTTCCATGCCCAGAAATTCTCAGGTTTATCGTCGAAGTTCACTTGTTTGTTAATCATTAGTTCTTTCTTAAGAAGAAAACTTGTAAACTCGCTGTGTTTTGATTCAAACGGATCAAGTGCACGACATGGTGAAAGCATCCTTGTGGACTCGACTGGCTGTTGATGAATTTCCTCAATATATCTTCTGGTTCGCTTCATAGTTCATAGGGTCCTCCCTCTCCAGAACTGGTCCGACTATAGACTGTGATGAGATTGATATGCAATCTTGCATGTTTTCCAGTGCGCGTAGTTTGGCTTCAGCTATTGCAGCATCTCTTTGGGCTCCAAGAACCTCCAAATCAACTTGAATAGATGCTTGTTCCTTCCTAAGTTTGGCTTCTCTCTGTGTGTACTCTAATTTTGCCTTTGCCTCCTCAGCTTCCATACGTTGTTGAGCTAATGAGATGCTGTGAGATGAACTACGAGATGAATGTGAAGTCCTATGGGAGCGAGCAGATGTATTATCTGGAATAACCTTTGGTTGAGTAGGACTCGCTCTTGGTTCCGTTTTGACCTGGATTTGTTTCTGACTGTAGTCAACAAACGATTGCCTCATTGCATCTAATTCGTGCATAAAGTCATTCACCTTGTCTTCCAGTGAACGCATAAGTAAGTATTGTGATGCCTTGTCTCTGTAGCTCTCATCTGAGTTGGATCGTTCTAGGAAAGCCATGAAATCTTCATGAAGATCACGATACTCCAACATCAGTCTGCCAATTCTGTCTCTCTGTAGAACATCAGACTCTTTTGATTGTGAAGCTTTTTCTTTCATTTCGTCTTCCAATTTCCTTCTGAGTTTTTTCTGTTTGTTTAAGAAACTTGTCACTGTTTGTTCAAATAGTTCCTTTCCTACAAAGGTAAGTTTTGTTTTTCTCTTGGGCGACCCATAGCCTCAAGTGTTGGATCATCTGGATCCATCGCTGCAGTGTGCTAAATCCTGATCCAGTCTTTTTACTGTTATGGGACGAATTCACTAGAACACACTGTATCCCATTTCTTTATTAGTAAAAAGCTAAAATCAAAACAAAACAAACAATCAGTTTACAATAAATCAATAAAATGCAATAATAATGACAAGATAATTCAGAATTTTCAATTATGACCATAATGTGTTTCCATAGCTTTTTATTATCTTATGTAATAAAGATCACAACTGGCTTCCATACTTTTTAAATCAATTAGCAACCACGTGTATTATGTTTCGTTCAATTACTACACAAATAAATCTTGATTTCACATCAATTACATAGAAAAAGATGGATTCGATTCATATCGACATAATACAGTGTGATATTGTATACATATACAAGTTTTGTTCTATATACATGTACATCATATATTTTATTATTTTGTTCTATATACATGTACATCATATATTTTATTACCGTAAAAAATAGCAACATCTGATTATGGATGATATTATATATAATGAATATGTGTAATTTAAATGCATCCATTTTTTTCATGTTCTTTGTAATGCTACACTAAAACAAAGAAATAAATTTAAAATAGATAATGAATTATCATCTTTATCAATATTTACAATAATAAATTATCATTTAAATTTCGAATCTTCGCTGTTTAAAATTTGTACAAGAATCTTGTACAACGAGCGTTGACAGTACGATGGCCGATATGAGCCGTCAAATTACAAGTAGTAAGAAGTAAGAGTACTTCTATTATGTACGCAGAATTATTTGACTTTAGTAGTAATACCTGTATCATTTTGTACACGTACACTTTGTCAATGGCAAAACACATGTAGTTGTAATAGTAATTTGTACATGTACAAATCTTGAGACAAAATACACTTGAGACTACTTAACATTCCTTAGATTTAATGGGAAGATTATCTGTAAACTTAGAAGGAACAAAATAAAAAAAACGTGTTATCTGATTTTTCTTCTATTTCCTCCTGTTCCCCTCATTTTTAGTTGTTTATGTGGCGGATTTAAGGGGGGGGGGGGTGCCCCTAAAATTATCAAAGGTAGCGTAAATCACAGTTTCGTCTAGAAAATGTAAATATGTTTACTTGGTAGACCTCCTTTTTACCCTACAAAATCTCAGACCCCTTGCCTATTTTTGGCGCCCCCTCTAACTTCAATTCCTGGATCCGCGCCTGTTTAATATTGTTTACCTTACATCAATTGATCACAAAATGCAGCATGATCTCAAAATTAAAATTTTTTCATCATAGAATATTTTGTAAGTGTCTTTTTTTATTAAGTTTTTTCTTGGTTTTGTAAATTCTAACTTTCACAACAAAAAAACTTGCATTCGTAGGCCCCAAAATGATGGTTATACATTCCAGATACAATGGAGCTGCATCTTTATTGTTTCTTTACCCGCCAGATGAAAATCTGTCCTTGATGATCAGTGTAAAAATGTGTTTATTTTTCATTCTATGCTTTGCCCTGTTTCCATATTACTTTTTTCTTCATTATTTTTTTTTCATTGGAACGAATAAAAAAAAAAAGAATTAGGAAATGCATAACGTATTACATAAAGATGCAGCTGATTTACGATGGAATCTGAAAAAAGACTTTCACAAAACATGCAAAATATGCCTTCAATGATGGAAAACCCCGACAGATAAGATCACTGACAATGTTTGTAAAATTAAAATCAATCCTACTGTTTTATGTATCATTAAAAGAATTGAAATACAGCATTAACATGTACTTATCCACCCTCATTCAAAAAAATACCCAAAACATCAGATAACTCATGTTTTTTATTTTGTCCCTTCTAAGTTTACAGATAATCTTCCCATTAAATCTAAGGAATTTAAGTAGTCTCAAGTGTATTTTGTCTCAAGATTTGTAGATGTACAAATTACTGTTACAACTACATGCGTTTTGCCATTGACAACGTGTACATGTACAAAATGATACAGGTAATGCTATCAAAGTCAAATAATTCTGCGTACATAATAGAAGTACCCTTACTTGTAATTTGAAGCCTCATATCGGCCATCGTATTGAGTGACAGAGGTGTTGTGAGTGTAGCAGAAGATATTGATAACTGTGGATAGAGAATGATAGGAGTTATCCTTCCTAACTCACAATTTTCCTTCCCCTTGAGACACACATCACTGTCTAAGGTAGGCTCTACCTATCACTTAATTTTGAAAAATCTAGAAGGTGTATAAGCAAATCTCATTTAGAATATACCATTGTATGAAGACAGAGTAATGAAAAATGACATTTCATTTTGACCTTATAGTGTTGTATTTTTATTTTTAGGAAAAATTGCTATATAACTCCAGCACCTCGCTCCAATTACATTTGAATGTTATTCATGTTTAGTGCTCAGTTCAGTTCAGGAAATATCTCTTTATATAGTGAAAGAACAATAATTGCTGCTGAGAATAATTTAACTATTGTCATAAGTTCTTAAAATATCTGAAGTCAAAAGCGGTGACATTGCCTGTTTTAGTTTACCATACTCCTAAGGAATTTCGGGTTATAAAAAGGTAAGTGCGGTTTTAGGCTCATTATAGTATTCAAAACATTATTCATATCAAATTAAAAGAAGAATAATCGTGAATTATCAAGATTGTACATCTCGTGAAAATATCCATATTGTTTATCATTTTATCTTTTTCTTTTTTATTCGCTTGGAAATTTTCCAAAACAAGTTGCAACGTGACAGAAATATGTAAACAAAATATCACCTCGCTCTGTGATTCGGTTGGTTATTTGAACCCCCAAATAAAATTAATCCAGAATACTGAACATATTTTATCTTCAGTACGTTCATCTAAGAAAGACATTTGCAAATGTTAATATATAAATATATAATTGATAAACAGATAGAAAGTATCACTTGAAAATAAATGTTTTTATTTTTTTTTTCATGAGATGTACATTGATATCAGTGTACTTTAAAAAATATATATGCACTTTTTTTAAAGAATTTTTCTCAATAAATATTTTAAAAAGTATTTTTGATCAAGTAATACTTTCTATTTGTTTAAATCAATTACATTTATATAAACTGTAAAAAGTTTAACTTTATAAATTACATAGTTTTGGAACTTTTTAGAAAAAAATGGGGGCATGTTGATCTTTGGCAAAACCTTAAAGCTTAACACGATTCGTAATTAAGCATACGCCGCATTCGTTATACACCTGACTGCTTTATTGAGCGCGACAAAATTGACCTCGTTTTGCTTCTGCCAGCAAAAAGTTATGAAATTTAATCGATATCAACGTGAAAAAAGTGTGTAGTGCATTTAAATAAAAATGCACATATTTAGTATAAAAAGAAAAGCGTAGACAAGAAGGACAATGTAAGACATATAAGATATTTTATATGAGTAACGCCTACCGGGTATTTACGACCGAGTCGTGTTCAGCTTTAAACCCGTTGGATTATTAATTAAAATCTCTGTAAGTGGTGTTTTTCTTGTTATATATTTAATTTGGCTGTCACTTCACTTTCCTCCTTTAAACTTTGAGTCTAAGCTTATACAGATTGGCTTAAATCACAAATTATTTTATATGTCAGTGTCCACAGCCGTCGCCCACGTTAATTTTTTGATATTTTGTGCAAAATTCAATAACAAATAGCACATCTCAAGATCTTTGTGGGCGAGGCCTGTGGACAATGTTTTCTGAAAGAAAATTCCATTAAAAACTGGTGTCTTCTGCAACTTTTTAAGAAAATACGGGAAAATGCACATGTTTATGACGTCATAATTAGCATTTAAAACACATGTGAATATATACATTTGTGGTATGTCTCCATTATATAAACATACAGAGAGAAAATATCTTCAATTCTGTATGAAGTTTGTCAGAGGTCAGAGGTCAATACGTGACCTAATCACATGGCGCAATAATATCTACCGGTAAATAAATTATAAAATGACCTGCTCTACTTGCTTTTCATGTACAAAAATAAACAAAATAAGCAAGTAAAATGATAATTATTTTATTTACAATGTAAACAAGTATTTTATACAGTTTTTTGGCTATCGATTCAACCTGTGTACATAGAGAAAACTAGGCCTATAGTGCGTTTGTTTACATTTTTCACTTTTGTCAGCTGCACGTACAGTCTCTAACGTTCATCCTTATTTTTTGGGTAGACCTTTGGTTAAATTTTGTAATAAAGTATTATTTTTTCTTTAAATTCTACTTACGATAAATGTGTAAATCTGTTGGAAAATATCATGCCATGAACAGCTGCCAAACACCTCGGCGTTTTCGTAGTTCAATGTATGCTAAACTAAAGCTGTCGCCAGTGTCTCCGTGTTGATCAGAGTTTTACGATAAGTATGCCTTAAGTTACTGAAATCGTAGAATGTTTTTGATCAAATTGCAAATTAACTGGCTCGAACAAGTGTCTCAATCCATCGGATCCATCCATCCCTTTCCGGCGACCGAAATTCATCCAACTTTTTGTCATCAAACTTCGGACGTGTTTCTTGTGCCTTTACAGCATTGATTATCAATTTTCACGAATAAAAATATCCCCAGACAACAATCTGTTCACTATTACTGATCACAAGTAGCCTTTCACAAAATATTCTCTTCGAAATAGATTTCTTAGCCTAATGAATTCGAAGCGTAACCGCCATGCAAGCCGATTTACACCTTGCGTCATTTATCAAAATCTACGACGGACGGTTAGTGCAATAATTTAAAATCGAAAATATTCAATTGTCTGTCTCAAATGTATATATAAGTAATGAATAACAAGTTTATAAACTTCAATGGGAATTGAAGTGGGTCGGTACGTGATCAAATCTTCTGAGAAGGCCTTCGGCCTTCACAGGATTTGATCACGTGACCGACCCACTTCAATTCCCATTGAAGTTTATGAACTTGTTATTTATTTCTTAAGAAAAATGACTAGTATGATTTTTCTGCATTGAATTTCAATTATTTAACAAGCATGAGTTTTCAACTTTTACACCAGTTTCATTTTTTAGAAAATCACAGGGCAAAATTTGTATGGAAACCATACCTTCTTCTTTGCTTCAGCCTATATTCGTACACATAGCAAATACAAGGTACATAAGCTTACTCAAGTGAAGTGATTATTATTACAATTCCCGCCCCGCCAAGTTAATTCAAAAACACTTTTTTTTATTACTTCTTCTTACTTTACTGACATGATTAAATAGGCCTATCTTGTTTTGATCGATATCTGAAAATTAGGCTAGCGCTTCGTGAAAAATATGCCTACGTGCAAGTCTGTGTGGTTCTCACACCAATAATTCACACTAAACTTAAAAACATTCCTTATATTTACATTTTACAAGTTTGCCAGCACTTAATTGCAAATTATACTCAATATTTGAATTTCTCGCTGCCCTATATCGTTATACTTTTACTAACGTCGCTGTATTCTCATTGTGACGTCACGTTAGCGCACGTTTCTCCGTGTATATTTCTCGCGTGTGTATACACGAAAATAGTTTTCAAATCAATTTCATAGTTGGCTTACTATAAAAACACAGAAAATGTAAATATAATCTATTGAACAAAAGAAGTTGCCTTCAATTATGTAAATACATCTCAATACAATTCAAAATATGTGTATAAATAAGGAGGTATAACACTTTATATGTTGATAATACCAATCTTAATTTTATTTATTCCCTGTGTTTTGATTGGACGAAAACAAATTCAAGAAAAACTTTACACATCGATGAATTTTTCAATCAGAACTACTTTCTTGACTGTTGTAAAAACAATGAAAACAGATACTTCTAGTCTGTTTTAGCTAAATTATGATTACAAGAAACTTGATTTTAAAAATGAATGAATGAAAAGGAGATAAACAGGACTGACAGACAGGAATACCGGGCATTCTACTCTAAATCCATTCATTACTTTCAAATGAAAGTACAATAAACAACAAACACACCATTTGGACATAGCAACGACACGCAGCAGCTTTATTTGTACAGTGTACATAACATATGTAACATATGAAAATCAACTTGTATATATACATGTTTATGTTGGATTGAATAAATCATGATAAAATTTAAACTTTATCGTGCTCTACGTGTTGTCCTAAACTGGGGCCCGTTTCACAAAGCCTACTTAGGACTAAGTTCTATCTTAGGAAAGAACTTTTTCCTAAGTTCATTACTTATCCGTTTCACTAACCTCGTCTTATTTTAGGATATTCCTAAGTTATGTCGTAACTTTAGGACAGGTAAATCGATGACTTAGGAAGAAACTAAATATTGCGGCTTCATATCCAAGATTTCTTATGGAGAGAAAGAATGTGTTTGAGGAGAGAAAATCCAATGGACTAAGTATATGGATGATTACGTTCTCTCCAGATTAAAACTGCTTAACTTTGCATGAAATTACTCAGTACTAGGATTTCAATAATTGGCAAACATGTGTCAAAATTAGTCAAAAGTATATGAAAATGTCCGTTCACAAAACTGGGGCCGGCGAAATAGATGTACACATGCTGGAATAATTCCCCATCATTTTGAAGAGCACGTCTTCGTAAACAAAAAACTAGCAAGTGATTTGATCCATTATTATACATGCATGTACACATTATGTTTTTTTTATCTATTTCTATAAGTCCATGATTTTTGATGAACCACCAACCAAGCTCCGGATATATAGATGTTTCTCCCAAGAATGGTTCCATCTAATCTCCTCTAGGACGTTATTATTGAGGGGACACAAGCATAACGCATTTTTGTTTTCTATACATCGGTAAAATTATTATTACCCCCCCCCCCCCTCCTCCTATGCTCCGTCAGTTCTTAAGACCGTGAGATTACAACCAGTCTTCCTCTCCGCTTAATACAATGTATAACTAGCTATGCATGAGATTTCAATAGATTTCCTTTTAACCTCTTCTTTTAGTATTTTCATATCTGTAGTCACGAATTTGGGACTTTTTTTTCTGGCGTGGCATTCTTATTTTATATATTTGAGAAAGCTTTATACAGCACGAATAACTAACGTTGAGTAGTCATATTTTTTTAAGAATGCCATCACATGTGCATGTGTTTATAACGAAGCAATCATTTTTGAATTTCATTTACAATTAGATACCCTATAAAGAGCAAAATAAATTAAACGTTTAACACGTAGAACAATGTTTAAAAAATACAAGTATCGGGTGCCCGGAAGGGAAGAGGGCTTGAAAGGGTGTGTCTGTGAATGCTTAGTTTTACCAGCAAACTTCGCAAAGTTAAAACATACTTCTGTCCAAGTCCTTTGAAAGTGGGGGTAATCCCCAATCCTCCCGCCCCTCCCTTTTTTAAGCTAAAAATATAACCCATACTAACATACTGAGAGTTGTAGATAGAGCGGAGAGGTTATTTCAATAGTCTTTAAATCATACACAACTTAAGAAACGACTTAGGAAAAATTTAAGATAAGATTGTTTCGTGAAACAGCTGTGACAAATCTTAGGAACTTCTTAAGTTATAACTTAGGCATATCTTAAGTTATGTCTTACGACATATCTTAGGAAACG